GCTGCAGCTGGCCGAGCAGCTGGAGGCCAGCCACCGCCTGCTCACCTCCACCAAGTGCACCGTCGCTGCCGAAGAGGAGGGTGGCTCGTCCTGGACGGGCTCTGTGCAGCCCGGCGGGTGCGGCGACATCCTGCGCGTCCTGCTGCTGCGGCTGCGGGCGGACGGCCAGCTGGGAGAGGTGAGTCACCAGGCAGGTGGGCGGTGCTACTTTGGTGTTGACGAGGTGCTCATCCGCTCTGTCCCCCTCCAGGTTGACGTCGGCGACATCGCCGTTCCTGCTCTCTGTGGTCCGACTCACGTGGGACAGCCTCTGATCTCCGTCCTCTCGATAACTGATAAACACCTCGACAATGGTCGTCTAAAAGTGAATGACATTCTTCTGGAAATCCAGAAGAACTGGGTCGTTCCTCGCAGCCTGATGAACCTAGAGGGCGACGGCTCTGAGGACCTGCTGCGCGTCATGGGGCCACATCTCGAGCAGCTGCAGACCTCGGGTGAGGTTCAGCCCAGCGTCATGGAGGAAGTGCTGCAGATGTCGGGACTCAGAAGACTTGAAGTTACATGCGCTGAGGATGAGGGCTACCCAGACCTGCCGTTAGGGCTGGAGGAGCTCTACATTGACGAAATAACTGAAAACCAGCTGCGTTGTGTGGAGCGCATGCCCAGACTGAGCAGCTTGGAGGTAAACAATTACCGTGGTCCAAATCTGACCTTTCCTCCCTCGCAGCATAACCGGCTGGTGTGGCTCTGCGTGGGCTTCGATACTGACCACAAGTCCACCATACTTTCTCTGATTCGCGCCCACGCCTCTTCAGTGCAGGAGCTCCGTGTGTACTGCACCTTGCCTCCTGGTGACAAGAACTTCTACTTCCCCGACCTGGGCCAGGAGCTGGCGGCCTGTGGCTTGCGCGCCTTGCGGCGGCTTGTCCTTGAACGTCCTACGAAATCCACTGCATGTCAGGCGGCGGCGTGCCTGGTGCAGCGACGGGTCATCCGAAGCTGCTTGCACCCTTCTGTTGAGGTGGTCTGTATGGCGTGTCAGACAATGCAATTCTAGAAAAATGTACTCAGCATGCTTTTCCTGCGGCAATCATGCTGCTTAACGAAAACTCTCTTAATTCTTTAAAGGATGTATGTGACATAAAGCAACTCTGATGCATTGTTATTGTTTTGAGCAGTTTAAACTGTCAAACTTGTAAATATAACTAATCCATTCGGCTGCATTTGAAGGCGTTATTTATTCATCTGCCTGTTTACCTAGCAGCAACCAAGCAGAAATGATAAACAGCAAGCATAATCCAAACTAAACACAAGAGAGAAAGCCACTCGCTCACTGTTTCTGTGGTTCCGTCATTGGGGCCGTGCAGCGGAGGCAGCCGTTGACGACCTGAAGTCGGAGCCAGACTCGTGTGACCCTTAGGGAGGCTCGGGATGAGGGGATGCTCGCACCCCGGGTCCTCGGGGAGATGTCCCACATCAGGATGCAGCAGGCGCGGATTAAGGGGGGGGCGGGG